AATTGAGAAAAGTTTTTCCATCCCAATGTTTTATTATTGAATTTGATGTTCAATATGAATAAATTTTATAATTTTGCTACGTGAAATCAGGTGATTGAGGGTCACCTCTCGAGTGCAAAGGGTCAACGTGTAGAATTAGGGGATTCGTCGTGAAATGGGTTTCGACGGTTCTTTGCCAGGTGACAAAAGAGAAGCGAGAAACAGCGATTGCGCAAGAATTGCGTTATATACAGTTCAATATTGAATAAATTTTATAATTTGACTGAGAGTCACCTCTCGAGTGCAAAGGGTCAACAGTGAAGAATTAGGGGATTCGTCGTGAGATGGATTTCAACGGTTCTTTGCCAGGTGACAAAAGGGAAGCGAGAAACAGCGATTGCGCGAGAACGAGCTCGCGTTCGAGCAGGCGCGTGCGTTTTCCGCGACGCGCTGCTGGCAACTGACGACGGAGCTTCGACGAGCGTGGTTTCGTTGCGTGCCTGGGGACAGTGAGAACTGAAGTGCGGACTTTTTGCTTGGCATTCAATTTCCGGGGTTGGTAACGCGGAGAACGGAGCGGCGAGGATTGTACTCGATGGAATTTATTTCGAAGAGGGTAGGGGAGGAGATGTTACATTGATGTATGGTTTCGTCGCGAGAAAGACACGTGTGTCGGGAGGGATTAATTATTTGGTTAAGCTGAGAGCGATGTAAGAAGTCTCGTTTGCGCTCTCTTCGGATAACGGAGAGTTTAAGGGTTCGTTTCCTCTTCGTGGGATTTCTTTTTCATTTCGGTAGAAGAAGCGACGCATTGAATCGCGGTCGGAGAACGGGGATTCAGGATGAGGATTTCGCGGAGTGCCGCTGAGCTAAGTGTTTTTAATTAATTGGATGGCCAACGTCGGGGCGAAAATATCCGAAAGAAGCGCCGCGGAAAAACGGTCGCATAATGGAGCGTTACGCGACCCCCGGTGAAATGCAATTCGTTTATTCATGATGGAGTTACAGTTAAAGGAAGCCGTTTAATCGGTGCCGACCGTTACATATTTTCGACCTGAATACTGATCGCGACGATTTCATGGCATCCTCTGTGTCAAGTAACTTAAAGAAAAATAGAATAAGAGATTCGGTAAAATTAAACAAACACCAAATAAAAGGAAAACGAGTTTTACTCAATGCCACTTCATTTACACCTGAATTCCATCAAAGTTCATTATATCTCTCTTCATCTCTAATGAGTATCAGCGCAATGTTAAAATCCAGAAATTACTCAAACGAAATTCAACGATCCTAAACCTAAATTAACCCTAGAACTACCGAGCATTTAATACGATTAATATGCAGTTCCTATAAAAATTGTAGCAATAGATTATTTTCAGTTTCTTCAGACATTCATTATAGTACTGAAATGAAACATGAATAATCGATGCATGGAAAATATCAATAATTGCTGAACAAAAAGATCGAAACCAGTCATTTTGACTATTACGGTAGTTCTAGTGTTAACCCTTTGCACTCCAACAATTTTTCACTAGAAATATTCAATTTTTATGAGATATAGATGCCATTCTTTTCAACTTAATGAGGGATCTATTCACGAAATAAGAACAATGGTATTTTATTTCCACATTTCACGTATCGATACTCAAGGCTTAACGTTAAATAAGGAATTTTACAATTTTGATGCACCAATCGAAAGGCACCTTTGGAGTGCAAGGGGTTGATAAACGTTCAAGGGAATGAAATGGTCCAAGGCGGATAATTCCGCGGCAGAGGAAAGAAAAACGGGGAACGTGATCGAGGGAAAGCGATTCAGCGACGTACGTGTAAACGGGCCGATAAACAGAGGCAGCGAACAAGTTGCTGCAATTTTCATAAGTTCGATCCGCGGGGTCGGCCACGCTGTCGCAGAGGCGCACGTGTTACATAACACTTCGCGCCATGTTAAAGACCCGACACACACACAGAGACACACATAGACACATCCGGGCGTTACAATCGATAACGAAATTCAATTAACAGCTGGATCCGCGGCGGTTTTCGCAGTAATTCACTCGCTTACGCGATTAGCTCACGTGTGCCGTTCGGTTACGTAACCGTCACCCTATAATTATCAGCTGCGCGGGTACGCGGCTGTTGTCGATTGGGGACGGCGCGGATCGACCGTGTGGGACCGCCGGGACTTTCCCGGGGAACGCGGCCGGTCCCGAATCGGCTTGCCCGATGAATTTCTTAAATCCGTCCGAGCCGATAACGCGCACCGAGACACACGACTTCCGTGGCACGGCGACGTAAATCAACTTGTGGAGCGTATTCAACACGTACTCTCAGGTGGAGGTAATCAAGTTCAAAGTTACCGGCTTGTAACCTTTGTCATTTTTCGAGTTGATTAAGCACCAGTTGATTGTCGCTTCGCCGGGAAAATGGAAAGTAGGAATTTCTTGTTGTTGTTGTTGGTTTTTTTATAGTTGTTAATATAGTTTCTATTAGTGTTGCTGTTACTATTGCTGATATTGTTATCGTTATAGTACTGTCATTGTGATCTATTACTGTTACTATCATCGTTATCATTATCGCTAACGGCATTACTGTAACAGCCTCATTGTATAATAATTGGACTCGAGCATTAACGGTTCCTGCATACTCAAAGACAAAGATCCACAAGTATTGCGTAAGGTTACCCGAAGCCAAAGGCTATCCAGAAACCATTCTCCGGGACGATACGAAAATTCTCGCTAATTCAATGAAAGCTAAATCGACGGTGCTCGAGGCAATACTCGGAGACAATCGGGCCGGAGGATGAAAGCGTCTCCCGAAATCAACCCTTTCAGTCCTGGAGGAAAGCGTCCGCTGGAAGAATCGCGAGTACGCCGGCCCTCTGGAGGAACTTGACCCAAATGGCAGACTATAATCCGTTTCCCGGGCGTAACGTCTCGCTGTCCTCGTCCAATGATCGCGAATCCCCACACAAAATCTCGCGTCCCGGTTCTAGGAGGGATCAGGCTTGCCGCTGCTCGAAAACCGTAGGAGCAACAGCGTCCGAATCCGTCGCGAAGCGCGGAAACTCCGCTCGAAGCGTCTTAGTAACGCTCCGAAAACCACAGTGCAGGATTTTGGAAATTTTGGAAGGCAGAGTGATATATGAAAAAATGACTTTTAAAGGAAGAAAGTAGAAGCTCCGCCCTTTCTAACGAACTCAGGAAGAATATTGTATGACCCTTTATTACAAAGTTACGAGAGTTCAAAGACCAATGATCTTCGAATTTTTCGCACTGTCCTCCGTCTTCATGGTCTTTTATGGTTTATATTTATAATCCACGCATCTAACTTCTCCACTCGCTTTCCCCTCTTTCCCTTATCAATCCTACTATCAGTTCCAACTAAAGAATCATTGCCATTCGAACACCGCTATCATTTGAAACGTGCTGCGAGCTCGACGGTTTCCATTCGAAATGGACGCGACGCCCGCAGAAGTCGCGCGGCCGTCAACGCGTTGACGGAAGCGCGGACGACTCGAGGCAGCCGCCTATCCGCCGCAGTGGCAGCAGCCGCATGCAACAGCCGCGTAGAGTGGCCGCGATGCAAAACAAAACGCAGCGGAGCTGGTGTCTTCGCTGGCGCGCATGAGTGCACGCCGCCTTGGCGTACCCTCGATGCCCGAATTTTTGCGTTCCCATTCGCGGCGAGCGCGAGAGATTGCGGCCGTGTCGCGGAAAAGCGTTCGCGGCTGGAAAAAGTGGACGGGACAGGGTGGAAAAGGGGGCAAACGAGGAAGGGAGCGAGAGAGAGAATGAGAGAGAGAGTGAGAGAGGGAGAGGGAGAGAGAAAAACTGGCTAGCAGCCGCTTTGTGCGAGCGAGAGCAAGGTGACCCAAATGGGACGCGACAGAGAAAGACGGGCAGAGGGTACGAGAGAGAAAGAGGGATTATTCCTCCCCTTTCGCTTCGATCCGCCCAAAGATCCGCAGTAAAATCAACGATCGGCCCGGCGGGTGTGTCGCCCAGCTTGTGTGCATACGTGTGCACGCGCGTGTTGGTGCGTGTGCGACGCATGGCCGGAATTCGTCGGCGAAACCGAGGAAAATCATTAACCCCTCGACGTGTTTTCGTCGCGGACGGCAATAATCTCTGCTGGCTAATCGTACGATTCGATGATTCGCAAGAGACGCGAAGAAATATTCTATTCGTTCGTTTCGACGGTGAAATATCGAAAATATCGAAGCAGTCTTTCGTTTCTATACGCAACGAACAGCATTGGTTTTCATTCGATTAATCTAGAAATGTTCGTTAGACGATCGTCATTCGAGGTGGACAGAGAAAAGAGACGTTTAACCCTGCTGATATTTTTCGTTCGACGACGAGTCCCATGGGGGTGGACTGTACTGGCTCGTGTTATCGTCGCGGGCCGACTACCGCAATTTCTCTATAGCACACGGCCGATCGGCCAATCGGCGGGTGTGTCACCCCCGTGGCTCGACGCATGGCCAGACTCCGAGATAGGCCGAAGGTCGGATCTCCCCGGGGGTTAGGATCCAGCAGGGAACGATTTCAACGTTGTTTCTTTGTTTTTCTTTTCCCGTGTCTGGGGCTCCTCTTTCTCTCGGGTTTTTGTTTTTACGAGCCACGAGGGATTAGAGTCGTCGCGTCTGGCCAATCTAGGGCGTGGCGCTAGAGATGCAAATAGTGGGCATGTAGACGATGTCATCCACCGGATCGGAGATTCGCGGCTAACGCTCTGGGAGGTGTGTTCTCGATAGATTCGGGACCGCCACGTGGAATTTCGTGGTAAGACGTTTTCGCACGATCGAGTGGGAGGCTATAGCGTCGATGAATATTTATAACGACGCGCTCGTCCACTGTTCAATACAACACCGCGAATAGACTATATCTAATCTCTCGACGAATCACCGATTCTCCGTGAATCCCGAAAGATCTACTCTACACCCCTAGTCCACCGACGACCAGAAAATCCTACAAATCACTAACGAGAACCTAACCGATCTATCCAAGAAACACCGAAAACTTAGAATCCTACAAGCGATCGCAACTGTATAAATACAAAGGAACATGGTCGAGGAGGGCAACTCCATTTCCACTCACCATGATAGTAGAGAGCACCGGACGCGTTGAGGGGTGGCGGGCTGGGCGCAGTGGCACCAGCGGTCGGGCTGTGGGGTCCCCAACAGGTCTGCTGATGATCGACCTGCCTGGTGTCGGTGTCGCCGACCACGTCGATCTCCTCGTCCTCGGGCTCATGCCTGTGCTGCTGCCTCTTCTCTATGACGGCGGCGGTGGTCTGTTGCATCCCGTGGTGCACGGGTGCCGTGTGCGGCGGCGGCCCGGTGTCCTGCATCATGCCAGCGGACGGGTCGTTGTTCTCCTCCTCCTGGGTGTCGTCGACGCGATCCGGCCACGGATACGCCTTCCATTTCTTGGCCATGAGGCAGCGCGGCATGGTGACGGCCCTGCGTGCGGCACCGGTCGCCACGAGCCCGGTCACCGTCCGGCGACGTTACGACGGTCACCAGGAGGCGATCGACCGGCGGCCTCGGCGTAGCAGCGGCAGCGGCACCCGTGGTATCCCCGCGGCGAACCTCCGCCTCCGCCACCGACGTCGGCGTAGCTACAACACCACTACCAGCACCGTCACGAACCGCACCGTACGCAGCACCACCGTAGCACCGATCGACGCCGATCCCGTGGATCACGTCGGGTGCCGCGACGACGACGACGACGACGACGACGTCGACCAGCGCACCGGCGGCGTGACCAACAGCAGCAGCGGCAGCAGCACTATCCCGTTCCCAGCGTACCCCGGCGGAACGTCTATCCCCTAAACAGCCGTCGCCGGCGAGGCAGCCGTCGATGCTCGACCGACGCCGCCGTCTCCGTCGCCGACGTCCGTCGCCCAGCCCCCCGAGTATCCCTAGCCTGTTTACCTCGCGCACCACCACCGACGACGTATCCGTGGAGGACGGTGACTGGCGACGCCGCGGCTTCCTCGACGACCTTCCTTGCTCACCGCGGGGCGTGATCTGCAGCCTCGTCATCGGCACAGCGAGGGCAGCTCCTTCGTAGGATGCACCGCCACCATGCCAGAGCCCCGGCTACGGAACAACCGAGAACACCTCTCTCTGCCTCTGGCCCTCCTGACCGACTGTCTCCGGTAAAACCAGACCCCAAACCGTGTATTATACTCGCAAAACACACTAATCCCACCTCCTCTCCGCGAGTAAATCTCTCTTCCCCTTCGACTACCAGCTAGAGGACTACTTATTTTTACTACTACCGGTGGTCTTACTACCGATTCTTGTGCTTCTTCTCTTTCGCTCGCTCTTGCGTTCTCGATCTTCTCGGTGCTCTTCCGATTTCCGTTCTTAATTCTTCCGGTTCGCTTCCCCCGTCAGGAGCGGTTCCCGTTCTCGCGTTCCCAAGCGTCCACGCCTCCGGTATCCCCTAAACTCCGGCTCACTGAATACCGAGCGGACCGTGTCCACCCGTCCGTCCGTTCGTTCGTTCCGTTCGTTCGTTTGTTCGTTCGTTCGTTCGTCTGTCCGTCCGTCCGTCCGATCCGGAATACTCTCTCGGTCGCTCCCTGTCGCGGCTCTCGCCAGTGACAGGGGGTGCCCTCGAATACGATCACGACGTCGGGGTGCGACTGTTTGGTCGGTGGCGCTGCCGGTCGACGCTGCTTATCCCCTACCTCGCCTCGGCGGCTCTCTCCCTCGATCGCCGACAAACGATAACCTGTCCCTGTCCGACACTCCGCAGAACCGGGAGCCCCCGCCACCCCTCCGCTGCGGCTCCCCTAGAGTCAGCATCGCGCGGAGGCGCTGCAGTCGCTGCTGACGGCTCACGCCGGAGCGAGGGATGGCTGCGCAACCCCTCGAGGCTGCCGATGCTAGTTCCCGATCCCTGCAGGCCTTTCGATTGTGTTGCGCTCACGCTCGCGCTCGCGCGCGCGTGCCACGGGGTAAACCTGCGCGCACGAGTCTCCCCGTGTGTACGGGACGGGTGGTGTGCATCGCCATTGGCGTAGGCCGGAGTCTCTTGGCTCCGTATCAAATCACCGCGATCTCGTTATTGCGCAACGCTCCATGTTTCGATCCTCTGGCATTCCGGTAGCTTTAACCTCCGAGGATCTTCGGGTTGCGTGGAACCTACGGGAACCGGGAACCAGACTTTTCGGCTACCGTACGATCCATTCGAGTCTAGAGTCTACATTCTACCTAGAACCGTACCCCGTCGATACTCGAAATTCAGGGTATCTATCGCAGATCGCGCGAGGATGCCGAAATTTATTCGAACCGAGTCCCGGCGAAGCCCGCTATAAATTTCGCTAAACCCGATTTAAAGCCGGCGACGTTAGAGGCTGCCGAACCCCCGGCGAAAGAGGAGTGCAGGCTGGACGAGGACGTGTTGCTGACGGCGGACACCGGGAACAGGGAACAGCTGGCCGGGGTGCCACGGGCACCGGCCTCGTTCCTGGCCCCGCCGGCCAGTGTGTAAACTCCGGTTGCCGGCGAGGGCGGCGAAGCCGGGG